TATATGAAATGCTTTTTAGCAATTGGCTATCTCAGGAAAGTTAAATGGCGTCAAATGCCTTCTAGGAGATTGTCATTACAATTCACCTTGCTGCAGGTACACTTGAAAGAATCAATGCAAGTTTATTTTCAGAAAGGGATTGTTATTCTGTTTTATCTCATATTAGAGAAAGTGACATTTTAAAAGTGGGAACCAAACCTTAGGAATAAATAAGTTCTCAATTTATAATTAATTGCCCTGTAGTATATCATTTCAGTAGATCATATTTATCACAAAAGGAAGATAGGAAAAGAAAGGAAGAGGGCAAATAAGAGGAAGGGGGAGGGGAAGGAAAGAAGAAGAGAGAAAGAAAGAGACGAAGATAGTGGAGGAAGATGACCTCAAGGAAATGCAGAGTAACTGTGCTAACCAATTTTTGTTTCAACATTAACTTATATCAGGTGACTGATTTATAAATATTGATTCTAATGCACATAAGAAAAGAACTGGATTTTTAGGGGAGTTTGCACATGAAATAGTTTTATTTTGAATCTCAGAATTAGTCCTTGTTCCTTTTGCTGAGTATTCCTTTACACCATGTTTATAAACTAATTAAAATTATTCACTTTTTTTTTTTTTTAAGTTTTGAGACAAGAGTCTTGCTGTGCAACTCCAAATGTCCTTAAACTATTAAATAGCCCGGACTGTCTTTAGACTTACAATGTTCCTGCCTTTCATCCTCAACCTCCTGAGTGCTGTGTTTATAGGCATAGTTTAAGGCAGAAATCTAAAGCAACGGGCAGGTGCCTGGAAGAAAGTTTGGGTGTTAAATGGCATGTGGGTTCTTGATGTAAGAGTACACTGGAATATGCTTTAAATTGTTTCTTTGCGCATCAAGTTTCTGCATATTTCTAGCTTCACCTCTAGCTGCCTGAAACTCTGACCAGCAACTTCTCCCGTGGAGTGTTAGCAGAGGTCTCCGAAAAGAACCCTGGTAGCTACTGGGATCCATTCATATCAGACTTACTTTTCATAATAGCATTCCTGGAGTATAGTCAGCGCACAACTAAAACGTGGGACATAGTGCTATAAGCCTCTGGAATTTACTTTTTAAATATGCTTTTGCCAACATTCTTTGAAGGATTTTGAAGACATTTGCTTTAAGTTCCTTCCTTTTAGTTATCAGGAAGTAGGAATTAAGGACTGATTATAGCCACAAATCTTAAATCCCCTTACTTGTAGGTTTGCATAAGCCTTTATAACTGTTTAAAAATATATTCTGTGGTTTGACTACATTACCTCAAGAATGCAGTACTTAGATGTTATGTATATGTTTTGAAAATTGACAGCAGTGCCTTTTGTGGTCATAGTTGCTCTAGATTTATTACGTGGCACTTTAAAATCATTTTGGAAACATTAGTGTCATTTCTGTGTGTTTTTGAAAAAGAAAAACCATGACACCTCCCCCACTCCCAACATTTTATACTTCGGTTTCTCCATGTTCAGGACCATTTCTCTGTCAAAATCATTGCTGTTCCAAACTTAATTTCCTGACTGCCTTTGAGTTGGCTGTTTCTCTCTGGAATCCAACCATAAGCCATATCCAAGTGGTCATTCTCCATTTAAAGGGCCACATGTAGTGAAAAAAGACAGACAGAAAGCTTATCTGTATTGTGGTTGATTTTTTTTTTTAATTTTTACTTATTCTTAAATTAAAACAATTATTTATTATAATTTATTCACTTTGTATCCCAGCTGTAGGCCCCTCCCTCATCCTCTCCCAATCCCACCGTCCCTCCCTCTTCTCCTCCCATGCCCCTCCCCTGGTCCACTGATAGGGGAGGTCCTCCTTCCTTTTCTTTTGACCCTAGCCTATCAGGTCTCTTCAGGACTGGCTGCATTGTCTTCCTCTGTGGCCTGGTAAGGCTGCCCCCAGGGAAGGTGACCTGGAGGGGACAGGAACTTGACAAGGAGAGCAACAGAGCCAAAAAAAATCTGGGCACAGGGTTCTTTTCTGAGACTGATACTCCAAGGACCATTCATTGAGATAACTCCTGCAGAGATAACTCCTGCTCATGGCAGCTCAGTATCCAAGTGGATTTCCTAGTAAGGCTATCTCTGACATGAACTCAGTAGCTGGTTCTTTGATCACTTCCCCCTGATTATTTTTTAATCCACAAAATTATCTTTTGTATTATCTGTTTCTCAGATGTTTTATGTATTGTCTTCTGTTTATTTATGTATATATTCTGTCTCCCCATTTGAAATTGGGAGACCAGTAGCAGATAACTTTATTGTGCTGATGATTTTATGTTAAAATCTTGTGCCTAAAGCCATTAATATACATTAGATATTTTGTAAACATGTGAACACAGCAATTGTATAAGGCAGAAGTTAAAATTAATTAATTTTAACTTAATTTTTTTTTGTTTAATAATAGTGTTAGTGACCTTGACTGTACTGGTGAATGAATAAATTTCTTCATTTCAGAGTGATAGGCAGAAGTGGATTTTAAAAAATTATTACATTATGTATTTACTTAGTTGGTTTTTATTTAATATGTGTGGACATGTACATGCAGAGGCACGGGTATAGAGGTCAGAGGACAACATTCTGGAGTTGGGTCTCTCTCCACCGTGGGTCTGAGGTGAACCCAGGTCCTCAGCCTTGGAGCAGGTGCCTTTTCCCGCCGAGCCATCTCACATGCTCATTACTGGACTTTTAAAATTTAGTTCTCCTGCCTCAGTCCCTCCCACCCACTCTTGACCACAGGCTGCCAGTGGATTGTTGCATCTTCAGTAGCTAATAGTTTAGTCTGCTATGCTGAAGAGAGGCTGGTGTGTGGTCAAGGATTAGGAGCATGAGGATAGCAAACTTTGTTCTGGCGTGCATGGACCCAGAGTCCAGGAAAGCAAGACGGCACGGAGGCTCTGGGCAGCGTTTATGCGTCTGTGTTAGCTCTGATCCTCAGTAATCACCCTGAAATGGTAAGGGCTGGCTCTAATCTCAGGGTTGTCAGGAACTGGCCCTGTGCTGAGGGCAGGTTACCTAGGCCCCAGTGGAGGACCCCACACCTGTTCAGATGTGGCCAGCACTGACCGGTCTTGAAGATAATGATTATAATAATAATGACAATAATAGCAGTAATAATAAAGAAGGCATGAAGTCAGGAGAGGACAGGTTGGTGGGTTCCAGAGAGTACTAGATGAAGGTAGTGGGGGAGGGGAGCTATAGATAAAATACCCTCTCTATGTGTATACAGTTTCCAAAGGGGAAATACAAATGCTATTTTAGAGTAGAATTATGCCTGAAGATTAGAATCGCAGACTCCCATTTCACGTTCAAGCTTATTTGCTGTGGAGTGGACAGAAAGGCCACTGTGAGGAACTGAGACACAGGACGAGACCGGCAGCTTTGCAACGCCACACTCCCACTCGCTGCTGGGAGAAGGGTGGGAAGGAACAGTCAGTCCTCGTCATGGGAAAGCCTCCAGACTCTCCGTACCAAACCCAGCAGTGCCCAAACCATACATCAGCCCTGGTTCTATCTCACTCTCAGTCCGGCTGCCGACAGGAAGTCTCCATTTGAATCTTAAAAGGTCTTAAGTTTAATAAGTCCTATGGAAGACTTCTCGTCCCCAGCAGCACCCTCCTGTTCCCACTTCACACCTGCCATCTGAGTCTCCTCCATTAAGGAGATGTGACAGTTTTTCAGTCACTCAGATCAGAACCTCAGCATTGCCCCGATTCTGCTCCTCCCACACCAATTCTTCAGAAAGTCCTCGTCACGCCCCCTGAAATAGGGCCTGCTGCCGCCAGGCTGGCTGCAGGCCTCCACCTCCTTGCACAGGATTACTTCATGGCTGCAGTCGCCTGATGTTTGTTCCCTGAGTGGGTACTTTGAAAAGAATTTATTGTAGACCGTTTTCTAGTGTCTCCAGCATCTCAAGATTCTGAGTAATATCTCTGCCTTGCTTGAGTCATTTTTCTAGCTCGATGATGTACTGACTGTCCACACCAAAGAGAAAGCTTTTAATGGGGAAAAATGTGTACAGTGCCTTGTATGTATTTATTTTCGGTTTTAAATTACATCTTACTTATTTGTGTGCTTGTGTGTACATGTAGGGCCTGCATGTGTCGCAGCCCATGTTTGGAGGTCAAAGGACAACTTACTGTGGTTATTTCTCTCCTTCCACCATATGGAACCCAGAGACTGACCTCAGTTTGTCACTCACTGAGCCATCTCACTGGCCTAAATTAATAGTTATTTATGTGAATATTTATGAAAGGCAACATTCTGTAGAATTTCCCTGTTGACATGGTCCTTTGAAACTAAAGCCATGAGAACGTGAGTTTGGATTCCCAGCACCTATGTTAACACACACACACACAGCAGCATGCACCTGCCGTCCCCTAGCTGTAGGCTGTAGGCTGAGACAGGAGGTCCCTGGGCTGTACTAGCCCAGCCATGCTAGCCAGCTGAGCTCAAGGCTCAGTGAGAGGCTCCATTCAAATAACAAGGTGGAAAGTGCCGCAGAGAAAGGTGCTCAGCATCGACTCTGCTCCCCTCCCCACACGCCTAAACACCATCAGAATCATGTGTTAATTTTGAAATTAGGTGATAGGAAGGCCAGGGAACACTGGAATTTCTACACAAAGTTTTTATGTTTGTAGACAGTGTCCTGAAACTATAGTTTTCACTGAGTACTCAAAAGAATCCATGACGTAGCAGTACTGGGCCTTCTCCATTCTGTATGTCAGTATAAAAGCAGGTTTAACTCTTACGACCAGTGTGTAGGACCTTCCTTCCAGATGTGAAGTGGTGAACCAGATTCAGGTATCGTTGTGAACAGTGGTCGTAGCTATGTTTAGGTGACACCTACTCGCATACCGTATTAATTTTGTGCATGAAACCACACATATGTTTGTACAGCCTATTGAGGTGATTGTAGATGCTTCAATTTCTAATTTTAAATGATTATCATTTTTTCTTCTTTTTACTCGGTGCCTGTACAAAACCAGTGAGCATTGCTGACCCTGCTGCCCTTGGCTTCATCATCTCTCCGTGGTCGCTGCTATTGCTGCCATCCGGCAGTGTGTCCTTTACAGATGAAAACATCTCCAATCAGGACCTGCGAGCATTCACGGCACCAGAAGTTCTTCAAAACCATTCACTGACCTCCCTCTCAGATGTTGAGAAGGTAAATGTTAAGTCTTCACTTTTTTATTGTTTGTTATTTTGATAGAAGTAGGGTCTTCAAAACCCTGGGCTACCCTTACTTAGTCCATGGAAAATTCCTTTGAATTTAAAATAATCATATGTTTTAAGATTTCATATATATATATATATATATATATATGTGTGTGTGTGTGTGTGTGTGTGTGTGTGTGTGTGTGTGTGTATATGTATATGTAACTTATAATTCAAAATTCAAAATAAATGTGTGTTTATGTGTGTGTGTTATATGTGTATGTATAATTCAGGATAATTCCAGGAAAACATACTGACCTGGGGGAAATATTTTTAAGGGTGAATCATTATTAATTCTTATTACAAGTAGTTATTGAATGCCTGCTTGGGGAAAGATAACTACAAAGTGGAACCTGAGTCCTAAGCGTGGAATAGTCATATTATATGGCAGTTTGAAACAGATGCTGGGTAGGGGAGTCAAGTGTTTGTGAGTCAATGCTTGAAGGAGCTAATTTTTATTCTCAAAGACTGTAGCATTTGCTCTGAAGAATAAGCCTAACTTGGGGTTCAAAGGGTGTGTCATTCAAGGTTATGGGCCTGGATGATGACTAGAGAATAAAAGGTGTTCGTTGTGGTTGGAAATGGCCAATCAGAACAGGTAGATGCTGGCACCTGAAGGGTCAGCCTGAGTGAACCCCAGGGCTGGGGCTCGACAAATGGGGTAGGAGCCTACGGTTTTTATGTGAGACAACAGGAGTTATAATTTTATGAATTAAACTTGACAGATGTTGATACTTTTGAGAGCTACAACATTTTATGAGGATTTGGGGAACTTCATACTCTGGAGAAAAAAGAGCTAGAAGAAGCATAATACGTTGGTCGTAAAAAAAAAAAAAAAGTGGATGAAGGGGACACAGTGGAGGCAGAACTCCCACAGTCGGACAGCTCCTTTAAGGGAGCAGTGAAAAAGAAGGAAAAGTCTATAATAGAAACATGGTGATGTCACTGACCAGCTCAAATCTAATTTCATTGATAAACTCTGAATCCCACCTCACTGGCTGCCATTGTGCTCCGTGTTGAGAGGGCACTCAGGGTAGTGGGTGTGGGGATGTCGCTGCCACCCCTTAAAGCTAACCCCAATGTCTATCTTGTCACCTCGGTTTTAATACAAAGGAAAACAAAGTCCTAGGGTTCTATTGCTGTGAAGAGACACCACGACCAAGGCTACTCTTACAAAGCAAAATGTTTTCTTGGGGCTGGCTTACAGTTTCAGAGGTTTGGTCCATTTTCAGCACGGTGGGAAGCATGGTGACATGCAGGCTGACATGGCGCTGGCGTTGCTGAGGGCTCTATGTCTTGATCCACAGGCAGCAGCAAGAGACTATGTGCCACACTGGGTGTAGCCTGTGCATAGGAGACCTCAAAGCCCACCCCCACAGTGACACGCTTCCTCCAACAAGGCCACACTTCCTAATAGTGCCACTCAAATACCTGAGTCTCTGGGAGCCATCCCTAGTCAAACTGCCACGCTTCACTCCCTGGCCCCACAGGTTTGTGGCTACCACATAATTCAGAAATTCATCAAGTCCAACTTCAAAAGTCCCCATAGTCTATAATAGTTTCAGAAGTTCAAAGTCTCCCGAGACTCATGCGGTCTCTTAATCATAATCCTCTATAAAATCAAAAGGCAGATTACATACTTCCAACATATAATGGCACAGGATATACATTACTATTCCAAAATGGAGGAAAAGGAGCATAATGAAGAACTATCGGACCAAAGCAAGACACGTGTTCATAAGTGTCTTGAGATGAGGCCTAAGAGACGTGATGTGAGCACACTGCATGATGCTGCTCTTGAATCCCACACTCATTGTGCTAGACTTGGCAGATGTCCGTGAATGTCTTCTGCTAGTGTTGAGAAGTGTGCAGACACGTAAGCCTTGCTTTCTGTGCACGAGGAGGTGTTAACTAACTGCTTCACGTGAGATGCAAATGAAACTGTGTCATCTGTGAAAGGATTTACATGATTACGTAACTAAAGCAGTCCTTTGTGGCTCATCACCAGCGGGTAAAACTGTAGTTGACAAGGAGAGATCATTCTTGGTAAAATGAATTGTGCTTAAGAAAAGCTGGCTCTCTGTGCACTGCGCACATGTGTGCGCTCACGCCCGCACAGTGGAATGGAAGAGAGAAGAAAGGCTGGCCAGGTGCTGACATGTTGGAAGGAAACCTAGGAGCCTGCTTGTAAAATGAGTGGAATCAGGGTGACCTTCAAAGTCATCAGGAAGAGTTAGAATAAAAAGAAATCGGAAGTACTGAAAATACTTGAAAACTGAAAAATTCTTCTAATCTATAAACTGGGAACAGATTTAAGGTGGCAATACAAGAAATAGGCTAAAGTGCCGTGACACAGTAAGACTAGTGTTAACATTTTATTTGTACATAGATTTTTTTTTTTTTTTGCCAATTTCTAAAGAGAACTAAAGATGGCTTATAGAATTTTAAAACAGTTTAGAAAACAGGAACAAAATAAAACACAGGCAATAAAATAAAAGAAAGCTAAAGTAGAGACAAAAACATCAAACAAACAACAACAAAACCTAGAAGTTAAACCCTCACAGGATGTCAGGCTCTGGAGAACAGATGGAGCAGGGTGTGCGTGTGTTAGAAGGGAGGCTGACTTTCGAGGTGGGCTGATGGTGAAGAGGCGTGGGCTCCAACAGGAACATCTGCACACTGAGATGGGGAGCACCTCTAGCTTCTCAGGCCACGGAGCTGGTGGCTTCGGCAGCCTTAGGCCTGGGCGAAAGCCTAGAAGTCTGCTGGGCCATCCCAGATAGGTAGTGTGTGTGTGTGTGTGTGTGTGTATGTGTTACAAGTTTCCTGGACAGTCCCTGGTATGTAAGTCACTGGTTGTAAGGCTAAGGGCGGCAGCAGCAGCAGCAACAGCGGGACACACAGGCAGACTTTCCTTAGCATCTCTTTCCTGGTACATGTATGCAAATTCCTACACTCCCTGCCTCCTGGCTACACATGCCCACCTCCTGCCTACAGTGACCCCCCCCCCCCCCCCCGTGCTCACCCCTCTCCTACTCCCCACCCACGGAGCATTTGTCAACATCACAATATGTTATTTCTCAGCCAGTGACAGAAGAGGCTTTAATCCTTCTCCTCTCCCAAATCCGCAAATAAGCTAATCAAAACTTCAATTGTATTTCCCCCTCACTTTTCATACCAGCAAAAATCTAAATCTTCTGTGGAAACTCTTTCATGTTCATAGTTGAGGTGAAAATGATAAAACTGTAGGAAAATGCAATTCTCTTACTTAGTCATATTGTCTGTGTGTATGTGTTTTGGGTGTTGTCTACAGGTGTGGCTTTCACATAATTTCAGAATTAATTCAAGGGAAATGTCTGCATATAAAAATAATGTTTGCTGAAACATGTATCATAATGTTTGAGAAAATCTTAGCTGTCTTCTAATAAGAGAAGAATTGTATTAGAAAATAAAACATCAATAGATACTAAAATTCTGCGTAGCAGTGAATCAAGTGTAAGCTCTCCTACAGTTAGCATGGTCATGTCTCTGCTGGCGAATTAAGAAAGCAAGGCCAGAGTACATTTTACATGTCAGGTAAAAGAAGGGCTAGCAGCATATCTTCACATTACTTACGTTTGCATAAAGAAACTGAGCGAAACTGGAAAGGGGACTCTGAGTGTGTGTCTGGTTTAATCGGCGCTACTCTCCTTGTAATTTCTGCTGTGCTTTTATGTAAAATGCGAAATGATTTTTATCGATTTGCATGTTATACTTCCTTTGAAGCAAAGGAAATATACTACTTGTTAAACTTTTTATTTTATCATAAAGTGATTTTTGTAAAAGAAAATTCTCTTCCTAGATCCATATTTATTCTCTTGGAATGACGTTGTACTGGGGAGCTGACCACGAAGTACCTCAAAGCCAAGTAAGTTGTCCACACGTGTGAGACTTTTATATTGATACCTAGTTATGCTTTTTACAAAGCTCTTCGCCATGATTGCGTCCATATTCTACAGCATGCTGCCAGGCACTCAGGCGTTTTATATCTTATATCGGTTGTTCCTAGATATAATGTCGGAGCGTCAGAATGAACTGACAGTGACTGCTAATATCCTAAGAATTGTGGCAGTCACTGCCTAGGTGTCAGTGACCGAGCCTGTGAGATGGAGCTGGGCTCTTCCGCACGTGTGATGTGGTGGATGTTAGAATTCATTCTTTCTTATCAGCTACTGGTTTAAACGCTGATGAGTCAAGCTTGCACTGACAGTAGCGGTAGGAGCAGTACTGTAGCTGTCTGCCTGCGTTAAGGGAGGTGACACCTCTGTCCCAGTCAGCCTTGGGATGGAAGGCGGGGCTCTATTGCTGTTTCTGCCCTTTAAGGCTGTGGGGACGTTGTTAATTCTGGGCTCTTGCCACTTCCGAATACCACTGCAGTGCTCCTGCAGGCAGTCATTGGGCCAGTTTTAGTATTTCTGTTCTGTAATTCTGTATTCTGATTCCTGGAATCTCAGTATAAACACAGTAGCAAATGGTGCTGAAAGCACTGGAAACAGCTTTATTCCTCAAGGCTAAGTTGTAACATTTAGTATCATTTAGGGCCGGGCAGGTAGCTCAGACAGTAAATTGCTTGCCCCACAAGTATGACAACCTGTCTTGGGGTCTCTGTCACACAAAAGCAGGGCATGATCGAGCATATTTGTAACCTTGCCTCAAATGACAGTGTGGAAACGGATAGCACTGACACATAGCGAAAACACCACACACACAGACACACACACACAGACACACACAGACACACACACACATGACACACGGAAATAAAAGGAGGAAGGAAAAATGGTTTTATTTTATTTATTTAGAAATCAAAAGGGTTGGAGATTTAGCTCAGTGGTAGAACCCTGGATTCGGTCCTCAGCTCTGAGGAGAAAAAAAAAAAAAAAAAAAAAAAAAGACAAACTAACAAAAAGACCAAAAAAACCAAAAAACCAAGGTAACTAGAAATCAAAAGAAAAGCAGGTACATTCTTTTATTGACTATTAACAATTAAATACTATAAAGCTTTTACTCCAAAATTTACACATCTTAAAATTCATGAAATAAATGATTTTATTCAGCTCAGTTTAATTTACCTCTTGGAAATTTTTATATATTTTCTTTTTCTCCTTAGTTTCAATTCTATAAATATGAATGAGAAAGCCAGTTGTTACTGGAGATATTGATATTATTTGTCATACAGCATAACACATAAAACACAGCAATCTATAATTAACATTTTTTTTCTATTAACTAGAAATGAAGTCATATAAACAATGCAAAAAATAAAGGAGCAATATAAAGTCATACGTAGTCATAAACCATTACCATTTTAGAAATACTTTAACATTAACGTAAAGTATTTAGTAGGTAAATCTTGTATCAGACAAAGGAGGAGACTCCGGGCCTGCAGTTGTGCCGTACCTGTGGGGTCACTGGAAGACACAGATAGCTACATAGACACAGCACAGTGTAACGGGTGCTCTGTTAGGGGAAGTGGAGAAACAACGTGGGACTGCCGATGAGAGATACTCATATATACCAACGGGGATACTCATATCTCAGCGGGCGAGAGGTCACGTGTCTGCCCAGTATGTCATGTTGCTAGATTTAAGTTGTTAAATGCATTCTCGGGGTCCTGGAGATTGAGCCTAGGACCTCACCTGTGCTAAGCAAGAGTTCCGCATTGAGCCACACCCGGAAGTGCTGGGAAGTGCTTTCTTGTCACCGTTTCTTATTTCTCACTGAACAGTGATGCTGATCACCCTTTCATATGCTTATTGGTTGTAGGAACTTAAAAATCTGCTTTAACTAATAAGTGATTTCACATTCTGGTCTGCTTCATCAGATTAATGAGAATCTCAGTTAGCTGCTCTGGTGTTATTTCAGAACCTTCCACCAAAGCATGCAAATGCCAGATTACATACAGAAGATCTGATTGAACACTGAATATTGAAATTCTGTCACTGTTTCAAAATATATTTGAGTAATCAAAGACCTGCATTTCTGCCAGTCACGTGGCACACACCTTTAATCCCAGCACCTGGGAGGTGAAGCCTGAGTCTGTGAAGTCAAGAGGAGCCTGGTCTAGAGAGAGTGCAGGGCAGCCAGGGCTGGGACAGTGAGACCCTGCCAAGCAAATGAGCAGAAAACAGCAACAACACTTCCTTGTTACAAAATCAACAGGTTTTTTTTTTTTTGGTCACTTTTATATCTAAGGAAGACATGTTAAATTCTGTTCAAGTTTTTGGATTGAATAGATTGGCAAGACATGTTTACCAATAGAAAAAATTTATTTTCTCCAAATATTTGCTGTGTTCCTGAGACGCCTATAAAGGCCCTTTGTGGAGTATATGTATTTATGTTTATTAATGTGGCGTTTCCGTTCACTAGCCCATCAAGCTGGGCGATCATCTCAACAGCATTCTCCTGGGCATGTGTGAGGATGGCATCTATGCCCGGCTGTCGGTTCGAACTGTCCTGGATGCCTGCAGTGCCCACATTAGGAACAGCAACTGTGCGCCTTCATTTTCCTACGTGAAACAGTTGGTCAAGCTGGTTCTGGGAAATATCCCTGGGGTAAGCTATAGCTCTAACGTGTAAACATAGTCATATTTTAACATTCAATAACATCACAGGTTTTCTTTAAATGTACAGTACAGTTTTTCAACAATAAGATAAAAATGATATTTATGATTGTTTACTCCAAACAATACTTTAAAATTTAGAATGCTATTATAGTTAGTCTTCCGCATCTTTTTTAAAAAATGTTTTTAAAGAACTTTATTCTAGAAAACCTTTATTTTACATTCACAGCATTTTTAAGTTGGGAGTAGTCTGTCCTTCCCTATTTTCCTCCTGATCTTTTCCTGTTGCGCTCTTAGCAAGTCCTTGCAAGCACCTTGAGGAAATGCATTCATACACAAAATGAGTCTCAGAAGCACTTAACATACCTCCTGCTTCTAGAATGCTTTCCTGCCCCTCATGTGTCGGGATCCCCTGTGTACCCCTCAGCCTTCCTGGAGTTCTCTGGAGCGAAAGGATTCTGCGGCTCTCTCGCTGCCCGGGATTTGAATGCCTCCATTTTCTGTCATCCAGGATGTGAAGAACTCAAGAATAAAATCTGTATCTAATAATCCCACCTCTGCTCTTCATCCCTCAGCCTGTTCTGCCCTGTTCTCTCTGGCAATTTGTCACCGTCTGTGGCTTTCTGATGGGCATATGTACTTACGCACTCTCACTCTGTGACGGCCCTTCGGTGCTTGTCCCCTCTCTGTGTGGGCTGCAGGTTCATGCTGTCACATGGTGTTCTTTCTGGCTTCCTCTTAATTCCTCACCCTTCACCCTTAGCAGGTTTAGTCTCTCCATCTTAACCAGGATACTGTCTGGTAAATGGGATATATTCGTATTCTACACACTCTGCCATATGGTGAGAAGCAGGCTCAGAGGTCTCCTAGACAAAATGTGAACTGTCAAAATTCCTCCAGACTTCAGTGAGGCTGTGATGGGGAGGCACGCAGGTAACCGGGCTCATCATAGAGCTCCCTTGCCACGGCTGCTTCCATTTTATTTGTTTGTTTTATTTCCATATGTTCCTTAAACACCAAAACCAAAAGCTACTAAAATATGCTGTGATGCATAGTAGAGACCCAGTCAGAGGCTGCACATCTCTGACCACAAGGCCTATGTGTGCCTGCACACTGACGCCATTGCTACCCACAGTGGCCATTGTAATAGTTGGGACACACTAAGATTCATCAGCCGGGGTCCAGCCAGCAGGCCAGCCCGGTACCTCGGGTCTTCATTCACCTTGCTTTATTTCCACTGACTAACAGCAGGGTCACTAGGAGATCGCTTCGCCCATGTCACCCGTCAGGTAAGCATGCGGTGACTGGGGGCCTTTTGGGTCCTCCTGCCTGGGTTTGCTCTCCCAGAGCATCTGTAATGGCTATGAAAGGAAGAACAAGCTTGCTTTGAGGGCTAGGTAGAGCATCTGCAATGCACAGCGCGGTGCTTGCCATGCCATCACTGTCATCACTAAACAGCAGCTGTGATTGACAGCTGCTTCAAAGCGACTGTCTCTAATGCTGTTTTGCTGTTACCAACAATGCAGTATGACTGATACCAGTTAGGCAATCCAAGAACAGCATCATTTCAGAAATACTTCCATTTAAATCTTCTTTTGAATAGGAGGTAAAATAGTTTGAACCATGAATATGCTACCTGAGACAAATTTAATCTGTACTCACCCTTCAGTAGTGAAGAAATATTAAATGTGTGAATAGGTGCCGGCGTGGGTTCACGCCTTCTGAACTGTCCTTAGCTCAGTGTCACTATTCTCGTCTCAGCTCCAGTCGTTATTTATTCTCGCTCTGCTCATCTGAATAAAGCAGCATTCTAACTTCTCATCCTGTACAATGTAGACTTTGACCTGATTTGACATGACTTATTTTATACGAATATTCATGGTTAAAGTCATTGAAATTTCAGACCGCTGAAACATTTTGTTAAAAAGAGGATTCATTAGGGCATCAATTTAAATTGTCACTTTCTAGCCTATCCAGCAAAAGAATTTAACAGAGCATGTAATTATGGCACACAGTATCTAGGAAATTACTTCTGAAATACTTTAAACTGGTATTCTCGATGTATAACTGCAACCAGGAGAAAGTTTTATTTTATAAAATTAATATAGCTTTAAAATTGTACAGTTTTAACTTGAGAAATGAAAATAGTTATCAGAACAAGGAAAAACAGAATGCCTCAAGTTGCTACTTTCAAATAGCACTGATTTTAGTCCCAGGTACAGACCACTCTGGGTTTTGTTGCCTTTTAACTTTTCAAAATTGTACTGGCCAGTCCTGGTCCATTTTTATCCAGGCCATAAAAATTACAGTCAGACGTGCAGTCTCTTAACTTGATACTGAACCTCAAGACTGGCTAATGAGCTATTCTATGGACAGTCACTGACAATAGAAAAGTATTATTTTATCAACCTTGATCTTTGGTTACCTGTGTGCAGACGGATCAGCTTTCCAGCAGCAGTGAACAGAAGTCTGATCGAAGCCAGGCTATTCGAGACCGACTGAGAGGAAAAGGATTACCCACAGGTAAGACTGCGCTAAAAGGACATCTTCAGGCCTCAATCGTATTCTCTTGTGTATAAAAATGTGCTTACCAGGCTTAAAAATCTGATAAATTGTGGCCATAGTTTGTGAGAACATAAGGATGCAGAGTGGAAGGCAGGGAACAGAGAAGAATGCCAGGTACAGTAATAAATGAATGTTACAGTTCCATGACATCCTTACCTGTCAGGACTCCCACACATGCCCTTGCCCTTTGCTGTGTCCTCCCCAGAACCACCATTTGCTTCCTCTGTCACAGTAGTTGATATTAAAGTTAGATTTTCCAGGTGTGACCAGATGAGCACATGCTTGTATTTATGAACATTAAATCTGTCAAGCGCTCCGGACAGCATCATCCTTACTGCACGCCGCTGTTCTCATTTCCAGCTCTCTTTTAATGACAGGCAGGGTCCACTGAAGTGATTTCATGAGTAAATGCACTTGTCAAATACTGCCATGGTTTATAGGATGCTTGCTAAATAAAAACAAACAGTGTACAGTGGACTTATAATGATTAAACACATGGAAATTCTGAATATTTGAGGTAAAAGTAGATATAAAAATTTATGTGATTATTTTTTTAGGTCCTAAGAAGTCAGGTTTTGATTTTAAAATAAATTTTGATTGCATAGATTATATTTGTTTTTTTAACTTATCAAGAATTATTGAAAGTTAGGTAACAAACATTAGCAAGCTTTTTTTTTTATTAATTACACTTTATTCACTTTGTATCCCCCCATAAACCCCCTCTCCTCCCCTCCTAATCTCACCTTCCCTCCCCCTTCTTCACGCATGCCCCTCCCCAAGTCCACTGATAGGAGAAGTCACCCTCTCCTTCCTTCTGATCTTAGTCTATCAGGTCTCATTAGGAGTGGCTGCATTGTCATCTTCTGTGGCCTGGTAAGGCTGCTCCCTCCTCAGGGGGAGGTGATCAAAGAACAGGCCAATCAGTTTATGTCAGAGGCAGTCCCTCTTCCCATTACTATGGAACCCACTTGGACACTGAACTTCCATGGGCAACATCTGTGCAGGGGTTCTAGGTTATCTCCATGCATGGTAAGCAAGCCTTTTTTGTACAAAGAAAAAATAAAAATAACAAGTATATCAAATATGTTTCAATGTATGTAATTTAATAAAATAAATTAGAAAATTAGCATTTCTAAGATTTAATTTAGTCAGGCAACCAACTTACAGCTACTGTATTTAAAAAACAAACAAGAGCAAAAAAAATCATCTTTCTTGTAAAATGAAGTGTAGATCCTTGATTATCTGGACTTGTTTGCAGAGTTCAGAAACTTCTTAAGCAAAAAGAACTTTCTCTAAATGAGGATCCTGTTTCTCCTGAAGTTGTGAAGAGCAGTACGGATGCTTTTTTGGGGGATTCTGTGCTGTACTCCAGTTGGCTAAATTGTCCATTCGCTGTTTTGTTTTACTTGCTGTAAATAAAGATTATTATTGTTTCTGAAGAAGTATCTTAACTTTCAAGACAGTAAATTTATGTTTGATGAGATGAGGATTCTTTCCTAATATACATTATTTATATGTGGATAAAAAGTTCAAAGTGAGGTTTGTCTAAGTAGCTTTTAAGAGTGTTTTGGTAACACGTATTTTTAATTCTTTTTTTTTGCAAGTCCTTATGTCCCTTGGATATGTGACACACTGTTAATGGGAAAAAGCCTTTTTCTCTTTGTACTGTACCAGGATTTAAACTATGGTATAGACATTGGTGCAAAGAATCCATCAGTTTTAGTCACTCTTCTTTTTAGAACAGAATAATCATCGAAAATTATTTATGAATGTCAGTAGCAAGCTACAGTAATCCCCTTTTTCAGGACTCACACTGAGCACTTATAAAGTGAGACATTAAGTAAAATAAATATACTTACAAAAGTGAGACATTAAATGATTGGCAAAGCTTTCATTTCTCTTATTTCCCCCTTTCTGTTCTGTCTTCCCAGTCCCTTCCCTCCTTTCCTCTTTCCCTGCTGCATTTCCTCCGCCTGTGGTCCCCTCCCTGCTACCTTCTCTACCTCTTCCCCTCTCTTTCCTGTCCCCAGACCTCCTGGAATGCCCCAGCGTCTTCTCCTGCTGCCAGTTACGTGGTCACGTTGTGCATGTTACTTGCTCATTTAATGGATATAATTTTACATATTAATGACTATTTTTTTTCAGTGGTTTGTGTTCTCGCAAGACCTCCCAAAAATGATGTGATAGTTTTGTTCTAGTTCATATTCATCAGGGATCTACTGGTGGACAAATCGCCCCTGATGTAACATGTGAACTGTGTGAAATCTAAAAGGCTGCAAAACATTAACCTTTGGTGGTTTAGCCAGTAATTGTTACAGGGCCATTTCGGAAGTATCACCTGGAGACTGGGCTGAATCTCTGTGTACTCCATAGGTATAGCCTGGCTATCAGTGTATTATGTGTTTCAAATAAGAAATTATGTGAGCTTAGCTTCCTGGACATAGGACAAACCTGCTGGTGTTTTAAGTGCAAGTCGATTTTGTGAATGTTCAATGAATATCTGTTGATTGTATGAGCATGAGAAATAATTTTATCAAAATGTTATACAGTGAAGTGTAATAGAATCCTGTTTTCATAATCCATCTTTTTAATGTTTTCATAAAGAAATATACGAGATGCCTATTATTTCACTGTTAAACCTTGGATGAGTTATGAGCAAAAAGAAAAACAGCATCTCACTTTCTTGGGGTATTTTATTTGACTCTTTTCTTACTGTAACAATAAAAGCATCACATGTTGGAAAATAAATTTTAATCCCTTTTAATTATGACTTTGATTTTATGCTAAAATAACTTAGTGGCATTGCTTAATACCTCTTTGGAATTATGATTCGTGGGCTATTTCAATGTAGGCAATGAAGGAATGATGAGGATTTTACAAACAGAAATCATTAATAGATACAGATTTTATTCTGTAAAAATTGGATCAGAATAAAGTCTGTCCTCTATCTAAACTGAGGAGAATTTGTAAAGAATTACATTATGTGAGCAATTTCTTTTCGGTTTATATTTTGGCATAGAAATCAAGTCAGGCATTTCATCCAGTTATATTTGGAGAAGTTGCACCCTTGTTTTGGTTGTGTGTAATGGAGGAGGAATCTCTGACGTTCCTAGTCAGAGCTTCCACAGTATACCAGTACTGTACAGGAAACCTCTAGGTTCCTTTTCAATAGTACAAAACCTCAACAAAATTGACTCAATGGAAGTGTGCTAATTAAAGCCTCCATGTGGGAGAAGCAATTAGCAGCCAGTTGTCTGTGGCAACACTAATTTCAGAAGTTTAAGACTGGGGAAAAAAAAATCAACTGCTAAAGAATAGGTACTCTAGGGCTGTAGAGATAGCTCAGCACTTAAGAACACTGGCTATTCTTCTAGAGGTCCTGAGTTCAATTCCTAGCCCCCACATGGTAGCTCACAACCATCTATAATATGCTCTGATGCCCTCTTCTGGCATGTACATATACATGCAGATAGAACGCTCATACACATAAATAGATAAATCCTAAAAGAATAGATGTTCTACATTCTTGCTCACTCTCTGGTTACAGGTAGCCTGGTACCATGAACCCTATATTGTTAGTGAAGCATTCTCATTAATGTTCACCAGTTAGAAGTATCTGTGGGTGTGTAGCTTCAGTGTGCTACCTCCCTGGTCATGGTGTTCAATAAAGAAAGCAGTAAGACAGAAAGGCAGTGAGATGCAGGATAGGAAAATGGCTGTGTCTGTTGTGGGACTGGTAAGGTAATAGCATTTGCCATTTCTTGCATGAGTGAATGGCTGTGGAGGGTGTCTCTTGCATCTTGCTTCTGAACTCTGTCACAAAAGTAAAAGTCTAAATTGGTGTGCTATCTGGCCCTACTTTGTTACTTAATACTACTGGTACTGATAGCATGGCTTTCAGTAGACACAGACACACACACACACACACACACACACACACACACACACACGAGTTTCCTGCCAAGCTTTAGGGGAAACCTACACCACCATCAGATAGGCCAGTGTGATGGCTTTGGAAGCCTGGGAGTAGGATACCATCCTGTTCCTTTTTTCTGTGTACCTGAGCACGTTTTTAAGGGCAGCTGGGAGCTGAAGAGTCTCTTTACTATTGAAAGACCATTTTGAGTTTCCTGCCCAGAGATGCTGTGACGTTTTGACTCTGTGTGTGGGGGGGGGGGGGGGGGGGACGTGAATGTTCATATCCAAATTAAGTATAATATTAAAGACATAATAAAATAGCTAAAATATGGTGTGTTTTACAAGGATTTTTTTTTTCAGTTTAATTGAAGTAAATAGGATACACTCCATGAAGTTTTACATTCTTACATATTTTTTGTTTGCATTCGAGACAAGCTTTCTCTGGGGAGCCCTGTTTGTCCTATAATTCTCTCTGAGGAACAGGCTGGCTTCAAATTAAAGTGATTCACCTGCTCTGGCTGCTGAGAGCTGGATTAAAGGGTGTGCCACCTCTGCCCTGATTTTCTTAAATCTTTTATTTGTAGCTCTTCATTATGTTTATTGCTCTCTATTTGGATCTTTAGCAAATTGTACATTCTCCAGAAGGAGAGTACCTCTGCTTCCATTTAAAATTGGATGCTTATAATTGGTGATAATATGTGTCTTTAAACGGAGCTCAGAGCCTCCTGAAGAGACAGGGGAGCCTCCTGAGAGTCACCTTTTGTCCTGTTGGGAGCAGTGTAATGTTGTTAGAGAGTAGGCCTAACACTTTATAGTAACCTTTGATCTCTGGCTTCATCATTTTCTCTCAACAGAACTTTTAAATCCCCTCTTGTTAGATAATCGAAAGCTTAGGAAAATGAAGCAGAAAGAGAAAAGGGAGGGGGAATTCAGTTTATAGGGCTGTTGTTCAGAAGTGCTAAGAAGAGTTAGATATGTTCACTCACTCACCCTGTCATCTCTAAAAGAGGGGATGGCAAATCGTATTCAAGTGGTGTTGGTAGAGGAAATGAGAAATGTGGGACCTGACTGGTTTGTGCAAGCTTATGGGTTGATTAGAAAGCTAGAATTAAAACCACAGTCTCTTCATGGTTGTCTATCTGCTAAATGATAACGACTAAAGTAGATTTTAAAAGTTTCATAGTCAAATCATTTGACCATCATTTTCTTGGAAGCTATTTTACAGGGGATTACATAAGACACAGTCTTTTATTGTTCTGCTTGGGAGTAAGGGTATGGAATGCTTATAATGTCATGGATAAGTGTTATAGTGAGATAAGTGTGCTAATGTAGGTAGGTGTGCTATGCCAATACAGTGAAGGAGTAAGTAACTGTTGGGATGAGGAACTTTCTACCTCAGAAACTCAAGAGCAGCCCCAATGGTGTTGCTTCCAGCAAAAGCGTCGACTCCAGTGCGTGGCAGTTGATCACAGCTGTCGAGCATTATTGATGTTTGCAGTGGTATTTATTGCTAACTGGGGAAATATTTTAAATAGCTTCACATGGTTAAATGTTGGGAAAGCAGTCGACTGGTATACATTTTGTTTAGTCTCAAGTACAAATCATCAAATGGTGCTGCTGTTATCAACACATGCTCCTTGGTCAGCGGACTTGAGCATCTAACAATAAGCATAAGCCTAGAATGTCATGTTTGGGTGTGAGTAAGAACCCATACTACTAGGTTCTATATTTGAACTCGGATTTTAAGTTACTAGATTAGTAAAATTTCCCCTCGTGCCTTAAAAACACAAAGTAATTGTGCTGCTATAGTATGTCTTTACGTTCTTTAGATTTGCCATTCTCAGAATTTTTATTATTATTTTAAAGTAGATCTTTTATTTTACATAAAGAAACCTTTTTTTAAAAAAAACATATCTTTTGTCCTGTAATGTGTACAGCAGGCAATTATGTGTCTGGTTGTGCAGTTTAAGATAGTGAGGGCATCATTAGCATGATAGAATGTGACCATGATCTGTCCAGAAAGAGATATTCAGTTTAAAAATGGTATGTTTGGGCCATCTGACATCAGCCTTTTACCAGGTGCCCCCTACCCACCCACCTACCTAAGGACATGTCTCCTTTTTATTCCAAACTACAACTAAAACCAGTCGTGGGCAAAGCGATGCAAGAGAAAAGCTTAGCTGTGTTATTCTCTTTATCCACAACAGTTCCCTCCCGTAACATTTTTATAACTTGTGACTTCATACCTCCTAGACTTTCGCATCACACCAGGCACAGCAACTGTAAAGCTCGTCTCGTCCACCGTTTGCCCAGTTCCCTGCCCCCATCTTCCTGGTTCAACATCCTTTTCATGGTCCCATCGGCTACCTGAAAGGTTTCGATTATGACTCAAGATCATGTTTCATAAGTAATTGTGAGATTTCAAGATTGTGATTATCACGTCAGCAGATAGGTTTTGAAAACTTTAGAACAAATAGCACAAATTAAATCTGACATGTGTAGAAACAAAAGAAGTAACAATCTTTGAAGTAGATTATTATGTTTTCACCATGTATTTTTTTATTTTTTAAGATTTATTTTATTTTTATGAATGTTTAATTTAATTTGAAAACTTCAGACACGATCATTGCATCTGCATCACCCCTGCCTTTCCCTCCCAGGATTACGACCTATTTTAATTATTGTTACGTATATACAATGTGTATGTGGACACACATTGTAGAGGAACTTTAATTCAGAACAAGGCTGCTCTGGAAGTGATCTGCAAGAGACCATATCCAAAGGCCTTCTAGGTCTGTGTGATCCAGCTAGAATACAAACACACCTTTAACCCAGGAGACAGGGGCAAGCAGATGTGAGCTCAAGATCAGCCTGGTACAGAGCAAGTTTCAGGTGAAGAAAGACTTAACAGAATAGGACACTCCCAGCCCTCATGAAAGAAAGGGGATAGGGAAGCTACTTAAGGGGCAATAAGAGAGGAAAAGAGTTTTACCAGGACAGTTACAGAGAGAGAGAGAACTCAGGAGAAGATAGAATGAGAAGGAGCCAGGAGATAAGAGCAGATGGCTGGAGTTAGTTTGAGGCCCTGCAGAGCAATTCAGAAGTAGAAAAAAAAGCCAGCTGGGAATCAGTCAGCTGGGAGAGGAGTTTGAGCCAGAACAGCTGAGTTGAACCAGCAAACCAGAGTTCAGAAAGAACAAGAAAGGGTGAGCTTATTAAGCAGTGTCAGAGGCTAAAAACATTCTAGGCCTAGGTTGGATTGTACTGAGCCTAGAAGCTTCCAGGACTAGGCTAGGTTAGCAGAAAGAGGCAGTAAGCCTCAAGACAACAACTACCTCAGGAGAATTAAAGTTTCTTTTACAACACGCAATCTCTTGAGTGCCTTCAGCATTACCTATCTTTAAGTGGGTCGAGGACTGACCACTCAGAATTGGACACCTTAGTTGGGATCTTGTCACTGGAAGAAACTGATTGTCCCTCTCTCATCAGCCATTGGCCAGCTATAGTTCTTCATCTAGGGACAGGTCTTTTCGATTTTCTCTGTCCGTGCTGGCATGCAAACCAGTGCTGTCGTTTTGCCAGTACTGTTCAAGCAACCATATAGTTAGGAGTTAATGGGTGTATTTTTTAACTTATTAATTTTTAAAGTAACTTTACTCATTTATTCATTTTATAATTCCGATCACAGCCTCCTCCTTCCTCTCCTCCTGGTCCCACCTCTCTCTCTCTCCCTCCACCCCCTCAGAAAAGGGGAGCCCCCTTCCCCCCACATAAGCCCACCCTGGCTCGCCAAATCGCATCAGGACTTAGTACATCCTCTTCTGTTGAGGCCAGGCAAGGCAGGCCAGCTACAAGAACATGATCCAAAAGCAGGCAACCAAGTCTGTGTCATATATGACCCAGGTTTTCCTTGGAAACCCACATGAGGACCACTTGCCTATCAGTTACATATGTGTCGTGGACCTGGGTCCAGGGTGTATTTTCTCATATCTCAGGGACACTGTAGTCAAGCAGTAGGCACACCAGTGATCCCTGGTGCTTACAGTGTTTCTGCTCCACCTTCTGTGATATTCTTTGAGCCTTAGGCTTAAGGATTGCATTGTTGGTACATCAGTTAGGATTGGGCACCTCACGGACACACTTAATCTCTGTATTTTTTTTTTAAGTCATATGCATTCTTTTTAATTCCTACTTTCTCCCATTTGATTTCTCTTCTGCACGTACATCTCCTGATGTTTTTGCTCCGTCCGTACATTGCTAGGGCTCTAGTGCTCCTGCTCACGTTTTCTCCACCTGGCTCACTAGAAAGCACTCCTCATGATACTCAGAAGACATAGCAGCTAACAAACACTGATCCATTCCATTCTAAGAGGGAAGTTTTTAGTCTATACAATAATCTTTCATGAAAATTAGATTTCTTTAACAGTTTAATTAAGAATGATCTGGGGTTTAGCTATTGTAAAGTTTTCTGAAAACATACCTAGTTATAGTAAAATCTTAAACTTAATAATTCCAAACATTACAGTTTTCTTCCTGTGCAGAATAGAAAGAATTCTGTTTTGTTTTTTTTTTTTTTCAGTGAAACATATTTATTTAAAAGATTAGAATATACCAGGACTCTTTACTGTGGAAACACATGTTTAAGTTATATTTTTAGAAGTTAAAAGCATCTTTTAGGCATTATAATATCCCAAATCATTTCATAGGTAATTACTGTTCTACAATTAGATATTCCTAACAACTTTCATTTTAAAACCAAATAGTTTTCCTTTGATGATAGAAAGAATACTACTCAAAAGCCATGTGCTTCAATCTGCTATTCATGTCGTCTCTACGAGACATCATGATGCAGGCATAGCTCCTGCATGTATGAAGGCCTGGGCCCAGTCCCTAGTGCTGCAAAAGTGAAGCAGACAGAGAGACATTGGCCTCCAGAGTCTGCTCTCGCCAGCTGTCGGCCATCGTTTGTCTCCCGCCCTCCACTTGGATAATTTAGGTGCCTGGCAGCGCTTTCATTATCAGTAGTGGGTTACATTCTAGCTGACTTTCTAAACATTCTGCGCATACATGATAGATTCTTATCATTCCAGGGAGAAGCTCCACTTCCGATGTACTAGACATACACAAGGCTCCATTCTCTCATCAGACTTTTCTTAACAGAGGGCTTAGTAAATCTATGGGATTTCTGTCCGTCAGAGACACACAAGACGAGGAAGAGTGTTTCAAGGATATCCCATCTGAGAATGATTCCAGGCATGAAGATCCAGAGACTCTCTCTCCGCCTTACCTGTTCAAGACCAGTAGTCCACAGAAAAAGGTTACCCCCGGAACTGATGTGCTTTCTAAGAAGAAGACCTGGGCTTCGTCCATGGACTTGCTTTGCACGGCTGACAGAGACGTTTCTGGGGAGACTGGCAGGTACTGTGACCCCGAGTCAGTGACAGGACGGACTTCAAGCACTCCTAGAAGGAAAGAAGGACGCTACTCCGGCGGCAGCATTGCCTTGGATATCTTTGGCCCTCAGACAGTGGAGCCAGTGAGGCACACCCGAGAACCGCTGGTCTCCTCCGCCGTGTCAAGTGCTTTGGACCGAATTCGGGAGAGACAGAAGAAACTTCAGGTGCTGAGAGAAGCCATGAATGTAGAAGGTTAGTAATCTCGTGTGTGTCTGAGAGATAAGTGAATTAAAACATTAAACTATTCCACAACTCTTAATTTCCACTTGCCAGGCCTTTGCATGTAGGTCGCATGGACTCCTCTGTTTCTGTTCACTCTTTCAAGTCTTGAGAACTCACGCGAGCCCTCCGATCCGACAGCAGTCCCCCCCCACTCTGCCTTATGACAGCATGCCCCACTCTGACTTCACAGGGCACTTGTAAACCTGTGTCAAGGGCTGTGTCGTGTGCCGGCTCTTTGGAGGCCTGAGGGAATGGCTGGCTCCTGGTCCTGAGAAGCAGCAGGTCACATCAAGGCCACCAGCTTGGTGCAGGGTGGGCTCCAAGCCACACAGTCCCTAAGACAGGCAGCAGAGAACAGGCATAGTTGGTGTGAAATTAGGTCTGGGATCTGCGTTCCCCAGATGGCAGTTTTAGGTTGTACAGACTTAAAGTCACTCGAGTCCTCCACGTCTGTGTTGCATGATCTTCCTGGGTCTGATTTTGCCACCTGTAAAATGAACCTAGCAAAGATAGACTGATTAGATAAATGACCGAGCTGATTAAACAAGTCACTCACCGCATTTTTAATCTGAAGAGCATAAAATCAACCTCATACGGTACATAGCGAGGTCTTTGCGGTGTCAGTTTGGCCAGCCTGGCTCAGAGATGTGCTTGCCTCTGTCTCACCAGTGCTGGTACTAAAGGTGTGAACCACCATACCCAGCACATGCTAAATTCCTACCATTCTCTGTTAAAGCCATTTCTAAAACACCCGAGTCACGCATGAAGAAGATCAGTACATTGAACTGAATAAAGTTATGTTTGAGACATACAGAGAGTGGCTATTTACAAACCATGGAAGGACACGCAACACACAGACATGCCTGCCCCGGAACTCTTTTGTAGACAAAGCTGGCCAAGTCCTCGAATGTAAAAACGCTTCCCTCTTTCCTAATCATCTCCTTTGTCCTCTGTCAGAGCCGCCAGAGAAGACCTTTTTGATGCTGTTTAGAGTCAGGGGTGACATAACTAAAGGCATCGCCATCTTCTGTGTGTACAGAGGGGTGCTCATTCATGTGTGTGCAGGTGTGTGTGCCTGCGTGTGTATCTGGAGGCCAGAGATCAGCCTTGGGTGTTCTCCCTCAGGAGATTTGTTTTTGTTGTGTGTGTCTGCGGGGAGTGTGGGCATTGTGAGTGTGAATGCTGTCCTCTTAGAGGACGTCAGGTCCCCGCAGCTGGGAGCCATCACACACAGGCATGGAGCCCAACTCGCATCCTTGAAGTTTGTGCCCATAGCTGCTGTGTCGCCTCTCCAGCCACCACCTCGCGTTTTCTGAGACAGGGCTTCCCACCTCACCCGGCCCGACGTCTGCCCCCCAGTGCTGGGATTACAAGCCTCGTCACCACAGAGATCAGCTGCAGGTCCTTGTGTGTGCACAGAAGCAACTAACCATGAGCTGCCTATGTGCCCCAAGCCCAGAGCTGTTGTTCTGGTAGTCAGTGCATGGACTGCCTTCTTTCTACTAAAGGATTGGTCCTGTTGCTCATGCTAGCAAATGTGCTGTGCTTGTGAAAGGCTCACTGGAGTGTTTCCTTCAACTCAGGAATTACAAATTAGTAAAGACTCTAGAGTTAGGGAGGAAATAATGGGTATTTAATTATAATGTGAGCGTGAGCTTGTATGCAATATGCATCTTATAAAGTGTTAGCCAATTTTATAAGGTAATTCAGTATGTTCTTTACCTGTTTGTGTGTTTGCTGTGTGTCTGCACACCTTGGGTGTGTCTGTTGCCTGTAGAGGCCAGAAGAGGGCAGCAGATCTCCTGGAGCTGGAGCTGCTGTGTGGGTGCTGGGAACCAGACCCTGGTCCACCACAGGAGCAGCCAGTGCCCTCACCTGCTAAGCCCGGTGTTCAGCTCTGTGCTATGTACTCCTGATCTGAGATGGGGGGAAATAAAATTTAGGTTTATTTTAGCTTTTAGAATTCTGACAGCAGAGAGCAGACACCTTTTGTAGCTTAAGAGAAGGGATTCTGGGGTCATGTCATTCCCCCAGCAGCTCACGTATGAATGGTGATTCAGCCTGAACGTCTTATGACTGTGTGTGCTTACGCTTTTAATCCCAGCATTTAGGAGGCAGAGGATGGCAGATCGCTGTGAGTTTCAGGCCAGCCAGGGCTACATAGTGTTATCATCAATAATGATAATAACAGATAATAAATAATAATAAAACTATGGAGCTGAAGTGGCTCAGTGGGTAAGAGCATTTGCTCTGTGGACAAAGGACCCGAATTTGCAGCAACTGTGTAAGCCGGGTGTGGCTCTGCGCTCCTGTAACCTCATTGCTGGGGTACGGAGTCGTCAGGTGCCGGGAGCATGCAGCCAGCCTAGTGGAAACAGCAAGCTGCTAGTGTTGTCAGAGGCTCAGGAGGAAGGGTGAAGAGCAACAGTAGAAGGACTCACTGGCTTCCGACCTGCACACGCACACATACTGGCACACACACTCGTGTGCCTACCTGCATGCGCACGCACAACGCACACACTCGGAAGAAAGAGAAGTAAGATGCCGTCTCCTGCTCTTTATTTCTTCTTACCTATGCTCGCACACATGGGGCCACACACACTTGCGTACCTACCCATGCTCACACACAAGCACACACATTTGTGTACCTACACATGCAAACACACCGCACACACACCACTCGTGTGGAAGAAAAGCAAATAAAGTGCTGCCTCTGATTGTGATGCGCTGGCTTGAGAAGATTGCCTTAATATTTTGAAAGTTAATATTAGTATACATTAGTAAAATTGATTTTTTTAATATATTTGAACCTTGGTTTGAGAGTTAAAGAGACCAAATCACAGTGAAATGAAAATCCTTAAACTGTACTGTGATTGTCAGTTTCATGTATTTTGTTTGAGCAAGTGACTTTTAATTTGACTGCCTGTAACAAAATACGTGTGATCCGGTTATCTCTTGATGTGGTGGTCGACACGCATGAATAGAATGCAATTTGTGTTACTAGGGAATGTACACAAACAGGAAAGCCTTCTTTTAAAGACACAGCATGCTTCGAGTTGGTTCATAACCAGACATTTCTATTCTGAACCTTTCTGCTGTGAATATTCCAAAAGCATTTGCTGCCACTGAGAACCTGTCCCTCTTCTTCCAGAAGATAGTTTAACACCCAGTAAACAAAACCCGAGAAGAGGGCTTTGTTGTGCAAATACTTACTTTTATTATTATATTCGGAACTAGCAATAACTTAACGCTTTCTCCCTACACTCTTTGTGGGAACGTTTGAGGGATGGAATTCAAAAGCAAGAATTCTCACTCGTTTTTTTTAGTTTAGGGACTGCCTCTGCAGATGAGGTAAGTTACACAAGCTGTGCAAACAGAAGTGCAGCAAATGTTTTAACTAGATCACAAAGAAAGAAGAGAACAGAAAATAAATCCTATATTTGTCTCACTGAATTCTCATGAAAATAGGGTCTTTGTGGGTGATAACCAGGCAGAAAGTGTGTGTCAATAATGTACACAGTGTAACTATGTATTTTCATATTTTAGGCATTTTAAAATACTCCGTACAGTCTTTTGTGATCTTGAACCTGACTAGCAGATTTCAGTAATTCTAGGGTTGGGCAGTGTCTTAGAGCACATCTTTAACCAAACACTGTCTTGGGCTTTAGTGTCGTAGTCAGTATTCTACAACTGTCTGATGATTGAATTTCTGTCAGAGGATAGTTATTTCCATCATGGTTTTCACAGTTCCGGCTAAAGATTTTCTATTGTGCCATCACTTTAAAAAAAAAAAAAAAAAGGTGCCATGTGTGGGAATGTTGTAGCTCGGTGGCAACCATAAGTTTGATAAAATGTTCTTTTGGGTGTGCACGGAGGCTCACTGACCCGACAGTGAACACAGCATTCTCCTTCAACCCCAGCGTCTCTCTGGTACGGACAGGCCTTCTTAAAAGGGTCTAACCTCAGTCAGCTCCGAAGCACCTCAGGTGGAGCTGGCCTCCCAGCTGCCCAGGAGACCTGGAAGACATGAGCCTGCACCTGGAAAGAACCTGGGTACAGTTGACTCTAAGCTCATTGCCCAAGGCTCATAAAAAGGAACTGATCTGACTAAAGGGATGCATGATCCACTTTTTACAATCAGCACGTGCTTCGAACCCGGCCTCTTGAGACCTGCCGTAGGAATCTTACACTGGTCATCCAGATACCAGAAAAAGACCAGATACACTGTTGGAGTTGTTACTGCCTGGGAACAGACATTGAACTCATCACCCACGAAGCCCCAGTCTCTCCAAAGCTGTATAACTTTTAATATAATAAAAGAGGGTACACTGGGAGGGAAAGGCTGGGGAGGAGACTGTGGGGTTTTCTGCCAGCTACCCTCCTGTGATGGGGTGAAGACCCCGTGCCGCCTTCCTCTACTCTCCTGGGTATCCCAGTGAGGTGCTACCATGGGAGGACCATTAGGGGCCAACGCTGCAGCCGACGTGATGAGGAAAGGCCTGTCGACAGCAAGGGCTGACCCTGGGAACTCCAGCTTCTCGGGAACAGTGAGAAAGTTAGAGTCAACAAAGATCCTATGAAGTTATAATCACAGCTTAATAACTACAAGTTATTACTGTACTGTTAGGCTGACACTGAAGCTTTCAGAAAGCTCTCCACAGGAAGCCAGGCATGAGGCACAGGTTTCTGGGATAAGAACCAACTGCAGAAGTTGATGGCATTTTCTTTATGCTTAATTTCACTTTTTACAAGGGGTTGCTGGAGAGATGGCTCAGTTCTTGCTGCTCCTCCAGAGGAGCCAGGTTCATTTCCAAGCACCCACTTGCTGACATACAGTGTGGGCCGGGGGATCTGACACCACCTTTTAGGCTTAGTGGATATGCCAGCATATGCTGCTGATTCCCACACAGGTAAAACCTACACAAATGGGATTTTTAAAAGATTTGTTTATTTTAAGTTTGAGTGTTTTG